TCAAATTTGTCTAAAAAATGAATATTTAAACGTAATGTTAAGCTTAATAATTTATAACTAGAAAAAAGAACTAGCAATACCAAACAAAAATCCTTAAATGTGTATCATTAACTAAATATGGCTTTATATTTGATCATTTTTTCTGACATTTAATCAACCAATGATAAATTGCTTCATCTGCTACAATGTTTAAAAAGGAATGATTTTCTAATAAAAAATCTTCCTTATACATTTCAGCAACATGCAAGATTTCTTCATCTAAGTTTGGGTTAGCTCCTGACTCTAAAATTATAATATCAGGAGATGGGCCAAAATATTTATGGTTTAGTTTAGTAAGTATAATATATTTAATAGTTTTCACATCAAAATCTTTTTTATAAATTAATTTGTTATTAATTTTTTTAAAATCTAATAATTTGTCAATGATTTGTTGAAATAATATCAATGTTTTATCAATATGCTAATTCATTCTAAATAATAGGGTTTCAGCTGTTAACTCAATGATTAGCTCTAAACCAGTTTTTATTTTAAATGGTAAATAGGTTCAAAAGATTATTCTTAGAGTAATATGTGAACTATTATGGGTAATATCATAAATATTTCCAAATTTAAAATTTCTTTCTTTAAAATCTATATTATCAATAATAGTCAACTTCCAAATATTATTGTCCTTAATTAAACATTTTGCTAGATTTGACTTCTCTATTCAGATTTTTGCGAGTTTTCATTCATAATGATCTATATATGAAGTTACATGAAAAACTGCTAGTAATTGCCAAAAAGAACTCAATAATTGTGGCATATGATTAAAACTCGCCAATACTCAAGGTAGCCAGATTTTTAAATGAGAAAAAGCTATTTCTAATAGCATTGATATAATAAATGTGACAATTTTGATTATCTGTTTAGGAATTATAACCTTTGATGAACTTTGACAGCTTTTTCATTGCCAGTTATAGACATTTGTTTTTTTGATATAATTCGCTAATTATTCCAAAAAAAAATTATTAAAAAAATTGGAAAAAGTACCATAATATTCTTGAATAGTTTGTGGGTACTCTAAAGCATATTTTTTCAAATTGATATCTGATTGTGAATTCCATAATTTCTGTTCAAACTCATGTTCAAATTTCTCAAAATCATTTTCTTTCATTCTTTTTTCTTTAAAGGTTTTTATAAAAAGAACCTTTATCATAAATAAACTGGAAGATATATTAAGAAAAATTTTTTCTTTGTTAATTGATGTATTAGTTGCTTAGATGGTAGTGTCAGTATATGTTCGATAAGATGTTATTTTACAAAAAGGAAGAAGAGTTTCAAAAGTTTTTATTAATATTTTTTTTCTAATATCATTATTTTCTGTCTATGTGATATCAATTAACCAATTACCCAATTATTCAAACTCTTCTATTATATCATTAGCATGTAATTTCTTAGTAATATATATTGTTGCAGTTTTTCCTCTACTAGGACGATGATAAATATGACTGCCCAAATTTTCATAACATGAATAACAAATATATTGTTGTTGCTTAATGTCATCAAAGGCTTATTTACATAAAGGTAAATATACTCGTAATACCTCACATGTATATAGTCTAATATAAAGCACTTGAATATTTTATTTATTTAAATGCTAAGAGTGTAATATATATCCTACACCTTGAGAAAAAAAGGTAATGTATTTACTATAAGAAATACATTGACACTATTGAATAATTTCCTGAATAAAATCCTTTGATTATTTACTTTGTGATTTATGTAAATATTTGTTATCAAATTGAAAATGAGAATTACACACTCCTAATTTTGACAAAATGTTATCAACTTCTTTAATTGCATCTCTATTAACTTGTTATATGCTAAATAAGTTGCGTAATTGTCTTAATTTTGCTAATTCTTCACATTGCTGAATTTTAACATTAATAAAATCAACAATTACACATGATGTATATTCTGTATATTTTAAATTATCTATAATTTTGTCTTGCTCATAACCACTTTTCTGATTTTCTTCAGAATCTTCAAAGTTTATACCATTAATATTATTATTATTATTATTGAGTATTTCATTAAACCATTCTTCAAACTCATTATCACTATTTATTTCATTATTATATTCTTCTAAAAATAAAGGTAGAAGAGAGAAAATTGTATTTTCTTGTTCTTGTTCTAATAAATCTATAAAAAATGAAGACAAAGGTGAAGAAGAAGAAAAAGTTTTATTTTTTTGATAAAATAGAAGAAAGGAAAATTTGTTTTTTTATTCTGGCAAGTCTATAAAAAATGAAGGTGAAGAGAAAGAAGCTTTATTTTTTTGTTCTGATGAGACTTCAAAGAATAAAAAAAGTGGGAAAGAAGAAATTTCATTTTCTTGTTTTGATATTAACGGTTTGTATTTTCTTTTTCATCAAAATTATAAGTAATTTAAAACTTAAGATGCAAGTTACTTAAAACTTCTTTTATTTAAATGAAAACAAAAATATTTTCTTATTATCTTCTTGTACTACTTATCTTAGTGTTACAAATCATAGTAAATAATATTTTTGTATATTAGAATATCCGTCAAGATTAGCAATTTTTGTTTATCATATAAGCTTTTATATTAAAAGTTATTCAATAATAGTTCGATTTTAATAAAAATTAGCATACTATAGCTTTAAAATAATGTAAAGCTATATGCAAAATTTAAGCATATATTGTTTTGAAAAATATTTTTATTTAAGCTAAAAACTATTCTATAAAAAATGATCGATATGGATATTGATCCTTTAATTGAAATCAACTGTTATGCTGATTACCTGACATGACCACTAATTGACAAGTAATTATAATTGATAACTTAAGAATTAAAAGATTTTTAAGCTTCTTATATAAAAAGTATTTTAAAAATAAATAATATATTTTAATAAAAGTTAAAAAAAACCTTTTAAATCTTAATTATAATTATAATAACAGTAAATATATTTATAATATAAATTTATAAATATAAAATTAACTTTATAATATATATATATTTTATTATTAATTGCAAAATTTTATGATCACTTTATAATTTTAGTTTAAAATTTTTAATTTTTATATTATACAAAATCATTATTTTTAGTAATAAAATTTGAATTCTCAAAAATTAGATTAATATTAATATTCAAATTAATAATATAGTATAAATTATAAAAATCTTAATAAATATATTTTAATATATTTTTTACATTTTATTATATTTTTTCTTAAAAAGTATAAATAATAAATTTATAAATAAAGATGGTGATTTAATTAGCTACAATAAATGATAAATAAACATTATAATCATTTTTAAAGTTTTTAATAAATTAAATTTAGTTAAATCATAAGTTAAAAATTTTAATTTCTTAAGTAATATTTATTAAGTTAAACTTTATTTAAATAATCATGTGAATTAAAAAATACAAATTAATGTAAATCATTTTTTTTGGAATTTTTAGTTAACTTTACTTATAAACTATTTGCAGATTAATAATATATATTTAAATATCTTAAAAAAATTGATTATAATTAGTTTAGAGTGTAAGCAGAAAATTATTAAATACTATAAACTTAATACAGTCAACTCTTAATATAGCGAATTCTTGATATAATGAATTTTTTGAACAAATATAATAAAAATATTCTTATTATAGCGAATTGGCCAATCAAATTTCTTAAAATCTTCTCTATAGCCTTATAGTGAAGTTGAGGTCTAGGACATTGAGTTCATTATAACAAGAGTTGACTGTATATTTATTAGTCTATCTGCTTGCTTGTTAATGTGATTTTATTTATTATATTTATCTATTATATATATAATTATATATCTTTTTGCTGATTAATTAAATTATTTATGTTAACTTATAATCATTATATTTATTACTTTAAACTTTCTAATGTTTTTAGTTATTTAGTATTTATTATTTATTATAAATCTACAATATAATATTATTAAAAAAAATTATATAATTAAAATTTAATATATACATGGATGTTTTGCAATAGAAGAAAGAAAATTATCAAAAAGTTTTTTACTTTATAAGCTAAATATTATTTTTTTAGTAAAATAAATCCAGATTTAATATTAACATAAAAAAGTTTTTTGATAATTTCCTCTTACTGCAAAGCGATCACATTATTTGTATCTATATTATTTTTTTTTTATTAAATATTTCTTATTATAATATTAATATTTCTTTTTATATAATTATAAATAAAAAAATTTTAATTTATAAAAAAAAATTATTTAATATATAAGAAAATAACTCAGTCTATATAAATTTTTAAAATAATTACTATAATTGCAAATCGAATTTTGATTTATTAATATCTTAAGTAATATTATTTAATAAGTTCTTTTTATGATTTAAAGATTTTTCTATTATTCATTTGTTTTTATTACTAACTTAATATATTATCATTTATTATTTATTATTAAATATTATAATTTTATATTTTCATTACTTTTTTTTTTACTAATTATTTTATGTTGAAAAATATATTTTACATAGGATTGAAAAAGTTGGTCTTCATATAATTCTAATTTTAAGACTTGCAAGTTTTATTAAAATAAATTTATAAATTAAAGTTTATATTTTAATAAGGATTTAAATTTAACTGATTTAAGATATAAAAATTAAAATTAATTCATAATATTATACTTAAAAAAGGTTAGAAAAATTTTATCTATTATATAAATAAAAGAAATTTTATAGAAATTAATTATAATTTTTAATAACATAAATTCAAATTTAAAAATTTTATTTTAAAGTTTCCTCTTAAAGCGATCATATGATTAATGTCAAATTACTGTATTTTATTTTTAGTATTATATTTAAGTAATTTAGAGGCAAAAATGTCCATTAAAATCTTCAATTTTAATTTATTTAAATCAATTTTATCACAGAAGTACAATACATATTGTCTATATTCAAATCTATTTTTAGTTAATACATAAAAACAAAATTGTATTATCATTTATAAATTCTATATTATCAGCGCCGTAGCCTTTTTTTGAACCTTTCTGCAACAAGATCATCTGTAGCCATTTCTCTCCTTTGCCCATTCTTATTTGCCGAAGTTTGATTTTGCTGATCATTATTATTATTACTATTATTACTATTATTACTATGATTATTATTATTATTATTATTATTATTATTATTATTATTATTTGTCGTTCTTTCATGATCACTCACAGTTGGGCGAGTTCGGTAAACTAAAACGTAAAGATGGAAATTAGTTCAGATAAGAAAGTGGAATTTTTCGGATCATGATCCATCGCCATTGACACGAAATTTCGAAAACTCGCGATGATGAGCATCACTATCGGTGCGTTTAGCAATACATAACGAAAACGAAAACTATCAATTTACTCACATCTATTAGTCGCGGAAAAATTCGATCCTTCGAACTTTTGGGAGAAAAAAAGTTTTGATAGTAAATAAAAATTGCAAATTATAAATACTAAATTTGTACTAAATTTTTGCAAACTTACCGTATCCTTTTCATCCTTTGGTTTTTGATGTCTTTGTTCTAACATTTTGCGCTTAGCTTTTTCCGTTTCTTCAATATTTTTTAACCTAACACTAAACGACAATTCAGTTTTAACACGATTTAAATTCAAGTTATTATGATAAAAAAATAATATATCTCACTCTATTCCAAGGTCAACCTCAGGTATAGCGGTTAGCATCGTTGTTGATAATTGTACATTGCCTTCTGATATCGGTTTGCTTTCAATCTGAAATAGATAAATAAAAAAACAATATTGTAAATAACTAGAATATAATCAAACAATGACATATATTACGTAATAGTTTAGGAATTTGAGATAATGTGGCTTCGCTTCGTTATCTTACCTGAGGATAGACACTATATTAAATTTGATATATTACGTAATAAATGTCAATACCTTATATATAGCTTAAAAAAGCATTCATACGTACTCGCAAGTGATCTGGAGCCTGAAAAAGCTCATCTTGAGGATTTAAAGGTTTTGATGACACTACAATCTCGTCATCATTCTTTGAATCTGATCTTTGACCTCTTCTCTTACGCATTTCTTCTTCTATATAAGCCATCCTATAGGCATATAAATAATTAATAAATTGTTTATATCACTTTAATTAATTCAATAAATTGAAAACTTAGAATCGAAACTAACATATGCTTATCCACATCTAATGCATTTGTTTGCTTTGTAAACGAATCTAGCATGATTTTCTTCTTTTGCACTTCATCTTCATCTTCATCCTCATCTCTATTAATGGATAATAAGAATTATTTTATAAAGATAGAAAATTAAGAATTAAAACTAAATTTATATTTACTCTTCGGCTTCTCTAACTTCGTCCAGGTCGACAAGGCCACCAACTGTTAATTTCCATGGATCCTCATCTTTTTTCTTTTTCTTGGCCTTTGCTTCTCCCTTAGATAGTTTATCTGCATCTATGCCTTGTGGTCTTCTTCGAAATTTGCGTAACTCAATAAGTTCTTCAATTTTTTCACTAAGCCAAGATGTTTAAGTGATTAAAACAATGAAAAGCAAATAAAATAAAAAAAGGTAGCTTAATGAATAAAATACCTGACGTCTTCAGGTTCTTTATCTTTTTCAACACTTGGTGAAGTATTTCGATCTTCAACTACTTCCTCGTCACTCAAAGATTTTGGTTTCCTGCGATAATTTCGTTTTATGGTAGACATAATGCTTGTTTCCAAAAAGTATCACTCAAATATTTATAAAAAAACTTGTCATAGTTACACGTGTGAACAAAACAGGAAAATCTCAGAAAGGTCGGATATAGCATTATAAATATTAATCATTT